AGCCTTTGTTGCGACGCCTGAGTTTCGAGATCTTAGCTGCTGAGAGCTCCATTATTCTTACTTGCTCCTTAATCATCAGAAGCTTGTTGGGCAAGACGAAAGTCTCCACAGATGGCTTTGTCATGACCATGGCTACAGCAACGGGCGAGAGTAAGGCAACAGTGCAGTCAGGAGAGGACTGATCAAGCAAGTGAAGGTATGAGTTGCGCATGCGGAATTATATACTATATCTAGTCAGGTGAAGTCTGGTGATATGCAATCGTGACCAATAGAACGAGGGAGAGTTAACTTTGTCCTCCTTTGATAGACGCTTTCTCCAGTGTATTCATGTCCATTGTATATTATAACGACCAAAACTGAACTACAGAAATATAACATGAACAATTTGCTACCGAAGAATAAGTATTTCATTACTAACGCTTGGAGAAAAAAGTTCTTAGTATCCTCTTTTCCCTATTTCAAACATGTATGCATTAATACACGCAGAAATCACAATAGCGCGATGCATCAAATGAACAAACCCACAAGGGCAATGAATGATGAGGGTTCGAGCGTACGCCAGGGATGATCCCATCATTTCCGTACACCCTCACCACAGCGATTGTGGATTTATTTGTGTAAGCATTAATTTTTTGGTATTGCATTCTTACTGGTCGTAATTACTCAGATCAGTTTTGCAATCTCACCACCAACAAGCTTATATCCATTAACTTTAACATCGTTACCTATGTACTATTGTAAGAACCCAAGAATGAAGGTAAAAGCAGAAGTCCTATTGGAACATATGAGGCCTTTCCTATTCATAACCACACAATCAATTTTATATATATGTCCAGTCTACGCTGAAAACAATCAATGGATCCTACTTCTTTTATCTTACGCGGTAATAGGTTCCACAAACAAACACCCCTGTTACTAATGCAGTATTTACCCAGGCATTTCCTAAATCTAAACTTATTAAATTGATACACATTGTTTGGTCTTGTTACTTTTAATACAATAGTAATATCTCTTTTGTTATGTCCATTCATGAACTTGTACGCATTAGAACATATGAATAAAGGTAAAAGCAAAAGGCTTACTGGCTATATGAGGAAGAATGAAGGGAACTGCAGAAGGCCTATTGGCCCATTCGAGGTAGATCCTATTTATTTTCCACGTTACATCATTCATATATGAATTTCTACCCTACGCTTGAAACAATCCTACTTCTATTATGTTACATGGAAATTGTTCAACAAATCAACAACACTGATACCGAACCAGTATTTACCCAGGCATTTCCGAAATCTAAACTTATTAAATTGATACACATTGTTTGGTCTTGATGCATTTAATATGTGACGATAATCTCCTTCAAGAGATTGAGCCTGCTCTTCCCTCCACAATTATGTCGTTACAACTATATAAAACTACTATGGAAGAAATGTCCAACAACGACAACAACACCAGCAAGGTTTGCCAGAGAGCAAAACGTATGCAGCCAGGGACACCTGCTCAGACTCAAACCGCCAAACTACCTGTCTTACTGCCGGCTCCCCGCTGATTGGTCGCCGGTCTGGCTGCAACTGCACTCGCCCCCCCATACTACTTGATGTCTGGGGCCGCCACGACCTCAGTCCTCAGAATGTTCCGTGCTTTCACAGTTAACACTTCTCCCTGCTAGACGTAAGCTTTAGCGTACGTATACTGAGAGAGGTGATAGCTTAAAGCCAATATTCCAGCACCTTTCATATACTTGTCTATTGCACTTCTTGTTATTTTGTCTTAATGTAACTTTTCATTGTGTCATTTAATTATTCTTATTATTTTGATTGATTGATTTTATTATACGAAATTGTTTGTCCATTTTATTCATGTTTTATTTCTTTAACGTAATTAAAATTTCATTGTTAAAGTTTACTTGTGTTTTGTGTGTCTTCTCCTTACCTTACCACAGACGAAGTTCCAGATTTTCTATTTTTTTTTTTAATACTATGTGACGAGGCCATACCCCTAGCTTTGAACAGCCGAACACCAACGCGTTACCGTCACATATTATATGGGGGCCTGTCCGGGAGCTTCACTCAGGTACTGGTGCCAAGTGGTAATTTATGGTAAGCGTATTTAACTTTGTTAACGTAGCTTTACTATTTTTCATATTCAATTTCATTTTTTATATGGTGCGGTGTATTGTGCATTACGAGAGTAACATATAGTGAAGGTGAGACAACTTTGGATTACATGGTGACTGTAGGCCGCAGTCATAC